CATATATTTCTGTCTAGTTGTTTAGGGCAAGAGAGTAAGTCTAGTCCCATGGACTTTTTATTCTTATTTGCTAGTTTTTTTAATTAGTTTCATATTTTATATTTAACTATTAGTTACATCTGAAATTTATTTTGTTATAATGTTAGATGAAAATCTAATTTTATTTTTCTTTATGATTGGAAGGCTATTTTCACATTTTTGTCATTGTATATACTGCTGCAGAAAATATCCTTGCATAGAAGACTTCTATATTTACCTTTTTGTTAAGGACATTTCTAGAAGAAGAACTACTGTGCTTTAAAAATTATCTTGATATGTATTGCCAGTTGTCCTGCAAAGGGTTTCTGTTTACGTACTAGCCAGCAGTGTGTAAAGATACTTATCTCACCACACTTGGACTGACAATGCTATTTCTTGATGTGTTAAATTGTCTCATTTATGTTTGTATCTCTATGGCATTAATTATTATAAGGTGACATGTTTTCGTATACTGTAATAATTTTTATTCCTCTTAATTGTCTGTGTCCTTTCCCCTTTTTTCCCTTTGTGTTTAGTCTTTTTATTTTTCATATGATTCCTTTATATGCTAAGCATATGAACTTTGTCATATTTGTTATAAATATTCCGTTTTATATCTTTGCTATTCCATGTACTTAATTCTATGAGTTTTTCCTTTTATGATTTGTTCCATTTCTTTTCTACTTGGAAAATCCTTCATCCTGAGATCAAATAACTATTGATTCATATTTTCAAGTTTCTTTAAAAATTACTTTCATATTTTATATTTAACTATTAATTACATGTGAAATTTATTTTGTTATGATGTGAGATGAAAATTGAATTTTACTTTTCTCCAAAGTTAAGCAGTTATTGTGGTACCATTTATTAAATAGTCATTTTTTCCCCTATACTTTGTCATATATTATCATCATCAACTTCATCATATATTAAATTCTTATTAAATAACCTGTTTCTCGTTGCCTGATTTCAGTGATGTTTCTTTCAATTTGTGTGCCTATTCCATATGAATTGCAGCTTTATAGTATCTCTCAATTTCTTGGGCAAAAGTTTTCCTGAATGCATTATTTAATATGTTGAGCAAAAACCTTGTGTTTCAATAGTATCTTGGCTCACCTCACTCGTTTTTTCTGAAGGAGTGACGTGTCATTTCTAGCTTTACTTCACGTTCTCTTCTTAGCTCACCTAAGTATGACATCTCTGCCCTGAAAGGTGACAAATGGCCTAATTCTTATGCCTGGTACACATTACTTCCTTCTCAAAGCTTTCTTTTGCTTCGTTCTTCTTGATATTGTATTCTTCTTTCCTTTTGTACTTCTCTTAGGACTCCACCTCGGTATCGTGTTCTGCTTCTTTTTCCTGTCCTTATGTGAGTGGTACCCTAAGATTCTGACCTTAACTCTATTTTCAGTTCCTACTGAATTCCTGAGCTATACCGTGCTTACTTGGTTTTAACAATATCCGCTATAAAATGACTCCCATATCTACCTCTATACCCTTGGGTCCCATAGTTCTGAAGCTGTGATATCAAGTGCTTATTTAAATGACAACAGGTCAAAATAAAATCCATTGCTCCTCTGTCCCCACCCCCATTCTTTTTCTCTACACTGCTGGCAGCAACTCAGCCATCCATAGGGAAACCTCAACACAGTTGTTATTTCCCTTGGCCCAAATGGTACAAGCTAGTTCCCTCTGGAATATTGACTCTTGAAACGTCTGTCACTACCACGCTGGATGCGGTCCTGCAAAAGCTCTTATCTAGCTCAAAAGTAACTTCTGATTCTACCAAACATATTTATTCACTTCTTTAAATGTGCTCTCTGTTTCGTAACTACCATATTTTTAGTAGAATTGTTTGTGTATCTGGTTGTTCTAACTAAATAGTGATATCCTTGCAGACTGGTGCCGTTTCCTCTCGTTCTGTCCGCAGCTTTTCACAATAGTTGTACTAAGTAGATGCTCAGTAACTTGTTTGTTGCACTTTATGAATTATTTACCTGACTGTAGTCTCATATCTTTTTAATTGATTCTCCAATTGCTGCTAGAATTGTTTTTAAAATTAAGCTAATTTTTTTAACCCAAAACTCTTTGACACTCCTTATCTACAGAATAAATTGCAAACACATATCATGGCAGTCAAGGTCCTAAACAATCTGGCCTTGCCTTTTGCCCTGAATGCATATTACTCTTCAGCTACGTGTGTTCCCTGCATGTGTTTCTTTGCCATGGCTGTTTTTTCTTTTTAGAATTAGTTCTTTCTACATTTATTATTACCCACTATGTGCAAGTACTATGCTAGGCTGTGTTAGAAATATAAAGATGGATAAAACTTACATAGCAATCTTTCGTAGGCTTCCTCTATATTGTCCATTTGTGAAAAATCACATCCTTCAAAACCTAACTGAGATATTGGCTTATCTGTGAAGTCTCCTCAGGTCATCCCAACGAAGGTTAATCACTCTTTGCCTCCAAAGCATTTTTATTACCAGAGTTACAAAATTTATCACAGCTCGCTTGTTTTATTTAACCTATGCCTGTATTTCCTTCATTGGGTTGAGTTTCTTAAGGTCAGGGGTTATGTCTTCATCATCATTGTATGCCCTCTTTTTCTCTTCCCAGTGCCCAATGCAGTGACTTTTAAATAATTGATACTCGTTAAATGGAAAGTTGGTTCAAAGCCAAGGTGGAAACTGAGAAGGAGTATCCAGAGTTAGCTAGAAAATCAGGAGAGCGTTGTATTACCAAAGCCAGGAATGTTTTCAAGAAGGAGAGGTCATTAGGTGATGTTCTAAGCTCCAGAACGGGAAGAAGGGGTGTAGATTGTAAATAGATTGTTGGATTTGTTAATTAAGAGGTTCTTGGTTATCTTAAGAAGAATGAGTTCCATAACGTGGCAAGGGTGGGCATCAGAGGACAGCAGTTTGAGAAATAAATAGAATTCTCTCCTTAAGTATCGATTTTCTTTTTAGCTGGTATTTTTATAGAAGTTGCTGGGAGACAAATTGAAGATACGCGGCCTAAATAAAGATGTAGAAGCTGGCATGCATTGTATTGGTTTAGGGAGGATCTGTATCTTTTGTACAGTAGATGAGTGGGGAGTAGGCTTGACGTTATTTTAAGAAAATTTAGAATCTAGCTACTATTTTCGTCCCGTTAGAAGACTACCATAAATCTACATAGAGGTCGCAGGCGTCCCTTCATCAAAGTTAATAATATTGTGTATAAAGCGTGGCAGAAATTATTTTGACCCAGAAATTTTTCACAATTATTTTACTGCTTATCCATGTTTCTTTCTCCTTCCTGTCCTCATTTGAATGGTAATGCATTAACATATATCTGCCTATATAAAGTGAATGAATTTTGAGAAATAGCCCTGAATAATTGTATACATTCTTTGGATTTTTGGCATACTATATTTGATCATTTGTAAGACACATTTAACATTTCTGCAACCTGAATGCCTTTTGTATTTGATGGTGTGTTGTAGTTTTAATTGACAAAATTTTTTTTCTCCCTTGATGTTAACATAAAATGATGATGGAGTTCCAATCAATAGCATCTTAGGTTTGATAAAATTTGACAGCATAGTAAAGAACATTGACGTTTAGAGACTATCTGCCAAATATCTTCATTTTACTATAAATAATGTTAAGCCAGTCTTTTTTTGGCAATAATTACCTGATATTACCTCCCTCTCTTTACTATGACAAAGGGTTATGGGTATCTTAAAACAATGATAGACTCTTTAAGTGGAGGTGGAGGCGGGAAAAGGGAAGGAATCCATAGGGAACCTCCTTTATGTTACCTGAATTATGATTTGGTGTGTGAGGAACAAATCTTGGTTACCCATAATTCTTATAACTTGTAGAAACACTAAGAGTCAGCAATTCATGTGACACTATAGTTAATTTCTGATCTTGCAGTCAAGGATGCATTGACTGACTGACTGGTTCATTTCTTTAATCACAGACATGAATTGAGTACCTACCATGATGCCTGGCAATGTACTCAGCGCTGTCAACAATCTTTCGTTGTCCTTAGCAGATTTCTTAATACAGTGAAATAGTACAGCAAAGGTCCATAGTCAATTCATGGTGCCTGAAACTTGCTCCTTCCTCATATACGTTGTTGAACTGAGAGACGAGATAGGCAGTTTCTTAAATAAAGAGCTGGCCTAAAAGGAGACCTGGGTGCTTGGCCACAGTGAGCACCCAATAAATATTTGTTGATTGTTGAGTGGTATATTTTTTGGGTGATTAACAGGAAATGGATTGGCTTATAGTTTTAACTGATTACGTGAGAAAAGATTGGTGTCATAATTATTATTGAAATAGAATTATTATTGAAATTGAAATAGAATATGCATTGAGAACTATTAAGGGAATAATGGGAGCTTCTCAGTCTGATTTGGGCATTACTAAAATAAATTAGAAACTTAAAGCCTTGCGGTTTCTCACCATAGAAAACATTGATTCAAACTTTGAAACATTTCTAGAGAGATCAGGATGAATCAACAGTTGTAGAGTATAACAAGTTCATATAAATCACTTTGAGCAAACCAGCAGTCCTTTCTTTGAAATCGAATAATTAAGTAGAGATATTACATCTGTGCTTGTGTTCATTTATTTTAATAACGTCTCAATACCTAATCCTTGAAAGACTGAAGCAACAGTGTAGTGAGGGGAAAATGCAGTCTGATGATGCGTACGTTTTTCCTCTGGTAACTGAAGGTTAAATGGGTAGCAAGCAGAATGCCTTCAACAAGATTGGTATATTGATTAAAACGCTGATTTAACAGCTCGCGGTTTCCCGTTGGAAACCTGGAAAAGATAAGCCAGCTGCTGTCTAAGAGTGCTCAGTGTCCACTGAGAGCACACTATCTATCATCACAATATGGTGAGGAGAGGTGTTTTATGTTTGTGTTAATTTCCCCCACTAAATCAGTAATTATTACAATCCTGTCCCTGCTGTTTACCCTGCAGCTGTTTTTCCATTTGTCGAGAGAGCGGGTGTTCTCTGAGGACCGCACACGTTTCTATGGTGCAGAGATCGTCTCTGCCCTGGACTATCTACATTCCGGGAAGATCGTGTATCGTGATCTCAAGGTAAAAAAAAAAGTAATCACAATTTGTTTTTGCAGAGACTATAGGGAAAAACACAAAGTAATTAGAAAGTTACACAGTTTGGAGAAAAGCAGATTTAATTGGGAAAAAAAGCACTCTGTTTAAGAATGTAGTTCACTGCATTTGACAGGAAATTTCATTCACTGATATGTATGTAGTTCCTTTATGTCCGCATTTTCGATGTGCAAAATAATTTTTGCTTGACTGCTCTGATCAAGTATGATCTGCCAGAAATGATATGAGTAATATTAAACATCTGATTAAAAGTCAAGTAACTTTGCAAGTGACATTTTAAAGTGTTTCATTATTATATTCTAACATCCTATGATGTATTACGAGGAAACTTCCATAATAAATAAGATTATTTATCAGGGGGAAAATATTTGTTTTGATTTTGGTAGGTTTAAATTCCTGAAGCATTCTAATGTAGCGTTTTATTAATTTGCTTAGTTTCTATTTTAAAAAGCACTGTATTGTTTTATTGGTAATAGTAACTTGACTTCTCCAAGTTCATTTCTGATGAGACCCTCAGAATAGCTCAGGGATTGGCAGACTTTCTGAAAAGGCCAGATAGTAGCTGTTGGAGGCTTTGCTGCCCGTACGGTCTCTTTGCACGTCCTCAGTTCTGCCACTGTAGGACGAAGGCAGTCCCAGATGGTACGTGAATGAGGGTGTCTGGCTGTGTCCAGTGAAACTTTGTTTACAAAATCAGGCCGTCAGCTAGCTTTCGCCCACAGGCCATGGTTTGCTGCCCCTTGGAGCAGCTCATAAAAGGTAATAGTAATTCTCATGGTACTGTTTCGAATTAGATTGGCATAATAAGGCAATTGTATCATGTCACAATTTGAACAAATTCTCTATGTGAGAATATTACTTTCTTAAAAAGTAAATCATATAGTAATCTTGAGCTAGTAAAATTTGACACAGAGTTGCTGTATTTATCAAGTACTGGTTTGTTTAAAATATAATTTGATCTGTAGAAATAGAAGTTACATGATTCTTTTATAAAATTGTATGAAATGAGGTATATATGTACATATTTTTTATGGCATATAAAAGAATCAGAATTATTGCCTCACTCCCATCTCACTCCTTTTTAAACAACTGTGATTCTTAAGTTATTTAATTATTTAAGCAGTTGTATAGGTTATTTTGAGATGTTCCTATCATGTACCTTTATGTTATGAATGATCCTAAGGCGTCACTATCTGGCAAAGTGTTATTTTACATGATGACAATGAAATATAGTATGTATGTTTGTATAGCATACTACTATTTATGAAAGTTTAAAAGAAGCTGTAAAGTACTGCATTGAGGAAAAGTGAACTATGCAAGTATAAAACGTCTAGATCAGGGATGGTCCACTACGTGCCAGAGCGGATCAAAGAGGACGACACATCAACAGTGTGATTGTGTTTAGCCTGAAGCTTTTTTTATACCCAGGAATGTGGCAGAATTCAGCATCCCTGTATCTGATGTCTGCATGGCCAAATAATCCTATAATGTTTAAATGTCTTGAATCTAGATGTTTTTTAAAGAAATTAGTTATATGGCATGACAAAACTTGTAAGTTATATGGCATTTGCAAATTCACTTATAAATAGTTAGCTCTTCTCTGCCTGCGTATACTCCCTCCACTCCCGCTGCGTATTTTATGAATCCCATTTGTAGGGAGAAAGGAGAGGATTTCCTGGGTTTAAGGAAATGAGAATCATTTTGAAGTACTCAGTAACACATGCAAAATGCTTTTAAAACTGGAAGATAGAAGTAGTAGCCTAAAGAAACAAAGAAAAGAATGCCCACTTGATTGTCAGCGTTAAGGAATGATGTAATTGGGATAGTCTTGGTCAATATTCTCCATTAATCATTTCTCGATAAATGAATCAACATATTAAAGTTCATTTAATGTGAGTTTTGTTGCCCTGTGCTTTCTGATGATGGAATTAGGCTAAATTTATTAAACTGCAATATAAAGTATCTACTGTTTATATGAATACCAGTCATGTAGTTACCATATGCATAAACCACTCACTTTACTAGACAGTTAAGTGGTCTCTGCTCTCTATGTTTATTTTTTTTAAATATAACCTGAACTTAAAGGTCTAAGTAAATGTATAGCATAGTACAGAAACCATGTGAATATATACCAGGAAGAATACATGTAATGTAAAAAGGCGAACATTCAGAATTTATACAAGTGTTACTTGTATCCATAGTGCACAGGATTATACATAATAGAATGAGATACTTTAGGTGCGACCATGGAAATTTAGAGCTGGACCATAGTTTACAGGTGAGATCATTGAAGCCCGGAAGCCTAGTGAGTAACTTACTCAAAGTAACGGACTAAGTTGGTGACCTAGTCAAGATATTAGAACCCATGAATCCTAGCTCCAGATCTAATGTTCTTTTCATTACACCGTTCTGCCTTTCTAGCGTTGAAATGAAATCTAGATGGGGAAATGCATTGGATTAGCTCTGGGCAATCACCTAAAATGTGAATAGAGCTGCCAAAGATAAGAGAATGCATGTATAAATATATTAACAGCAGATGTATTAAAAACAGCATCATCAAAAACTGATTCAGATACCTACTTTGATTGATCAATCTCAGATTTTTTATCATCTCCTTACTAATGACCTCATGTTTATTCAAATGCAAATCTATTTGAGATGCCTATGGTACCTGCGCCTCTCAAGTAAATCAGGACCTGTTTGCTGCTGCCCCATTTATCATTGGAGGCAAAGCCTTTTTCATGTGCAAGTTAATTTAACATATTTTATCAGTTTATATTTCCTAATAACTTATATTCATAGCAACAAATAAATTATCGCAAGCTTTGTTGCATAAAAAGTAAGTTTGCATAATTTATCAATACATGTTGTGATGCGATATTTTGTTTCGGTAAGGACCCAAATCCCTTGTCATTACGTAGGAAAAACTGGTGTTGCTTCATGATAACAAAAACATTTAAAGAAATCTCTTCTAAGACTTTGTCAGTAGAGCAAATTGTGTTAAAAACTTTTCTGCTTAGTTCTTATTTTGCAAGTATAACCTTTCTTTTCAACAACTATGGCCGTCCAAGTACAGAATAGGCTGAATTAGGGACATTTGCAAACGTGCATATAATAATAATAGAAATAACTAAGAATTAATTTCTCCAAGAGTTTATGCCAGGGTGAAGGGCAGAAAATAATACATACCTTGCTACTATATTCTATTTGTAGAAAATTTAATCTTGTTTCTACCCAAAGAGTTTATAGGTAATTTAATCATTTACATTATTAATATTAGAAACTGCCAAATAGATTTCATTTCTAAGACATGGTAATGTTACAAAGGGATGGTTTCAGAGAGTCTTTTACCACAGCCCTCCCAATCTTCATCAGCTCCCTGATGTTCACCCCAAATAAATCCTCAGTCTAAATGAAAACAGCATGTTTGTTTTACATACAGAGTCTCAAGACACATCCCCCCAACTCCCACTTCTAATTAGGCAGTCACTCTGAATTCCCTTTTTTATAGAAATTTTAAGCCACCACTATTAAAAATCCCTTCCACTTCTAAAATTAAATGGTATTATTGGGCTGTATTCCTTATTTGCAGTAAGTTCTTGAGTAGCCTGGCAGCCTAGATGGGGCCTCCAGTGTTGTACCTGATGAGTCCTTTTCTAGCTTAGGAAGGTTGCAAGTGAAGACACATTTTTCTTTCAGTATTTCAGCCCACTCTTTTAATTTATGGTCATTTAGTTCCTGCAGTTCAGTTTATGTGACATTTTGGCACTTGACACCCATAAACTTAAATATACAGTCTGCGGAGGAGGAATTCTTACGCCATTCTTGGGCCTGAGGCAGTCTCGGTACTGAACACTCAGTCTGATGTAACTGTGCTAAAAGAGGGTGTCAGAGTGGGTGAAAGGAGTTGTTTGTTTATATTGCTACAATATAGTCATCAGGGCCCTTAGAAACTGCTGTTTTCATTCCTTTCTTTAATCACAATGTCAGCCGTTTAACTAAAAGGATACCTAAAAGATAGATAAATATTATGCTGGCTTGACGTGTATTAGAGCAGAGCTTCCCAGCCTGTGTGCTACAAATGAGTGATAGGTGTGCCCAAGCCGTGGCCTCCCTCAACCCACTAGGTGGTTGGAGGAGCCTTGGGGCCGATCACTTTTGGCCTCAGGCAGCCTGCCCACTGATTCCACTGATCCTGGTACACCATGCAGATTTCGTTTTGTATTGTACTCTGAAGTGTAAAAGGTTGGAAAGCACTATATTAAAGATAGCTAGGATTTTTAGAGTTTAATTTTATTTTAGGCACCAGCAAGAGCAGCAAGGAGCATAATACTTTGTTGCTATAATTTCTTGTCCACAAAGCACAGAGGAAAAAAGATTTCAATAGCTACTGTTTTTCCTTATATATGCTGAATCAGATAATGCCTGTCCATTTCAACTGGGTAAAAAATGTTGCCTTTTTTATGGAAACTCTGTGAGATACATGTCTGATACTTTTTCTTTCCTTAGAGTGTGGACTGTTAGATAACAACCTTCTAACTGATACAAGTAGTAAGCATTACCCAGATTATAATATATAATCTTTTTTCTCAAACCTCCTATTTGACTTCATCATTGCTTTTGCCAGTGGACACATCCATTCAGCATAAACATATTGCCCTGCTCTCAGTCTTGGAAACTAAGACTGACTGTGGAGATAAAACAGATACATTTAAAATTTTAAAACAGAGAGTACCTGGACAGTGAGCGACAGTGTGCATTTTGCATTTTATGGCTAAGAAAAGGAAGAAGTAAAGCCATGAGATTTAGGAGAGAGAACCAAAGAGAGGTCATTTGTAAATATTTTCATTCCTCCTTTACACAGAAGGGCTCCTAAAAATGTTTGACTAAATCCTCTTTAGGTTAGTGTTAAATGCACTAAGGAAGTGGTTTCCAGGTGTTTCTGATCTATCTAGGCCATTGATCTGCCATGAAAAGACTTCCAGATGATTCTGTGCCTCCTTCACATTTGTGAATCACACCGCTAATGGTTCTCATATTTTATGGAAACTTTGTTATGTGTCTGCGTGAAATTATTATTTATATTTTAGCAAGACTGGATATTTAATTACCCCTCTGATTTATCTTCATACAAGGTTAGATTTGGGGATATCATTTTTTTAAGGTGATGCATCTCTGACTATTGTTCATGCGTTTGATGGACAAGTTGTTCTTGTCATTCCAAGGTGGTAAGAGAAAAAAAATAATTGACAGAAGAAGGTGGACAGGGTTGTAAAATAACTGGCTCAAAAAATATGAAATATTTAGTTTTGTTGTTTTAGTCAAAAGAAATTATTGCATATTGGAAAGTGTTTTTAATGAAGTCACTGAACTGACAGGAGTGTTTTATAGGTTCCACTCCAGAACTTTTCTTTAAAGCTCTTTTCTTTAAAATAGAAGTTGTCTGGAAGAGCACACACCATTTTGATAACTTACAAATCAGCCATTAAACTCTCCATGTTTAATAAATGATCAATACATTTATCGAATGCTTACAGTCTAAGTTGTGCATTCCATATCTCATTTAATTCTCAACAATCACATTGGATCGTTACAGTTATTTACCTCTGTCCTAGAGATGAAGTTGAGGCATGTAGCAATCAAGTAGCATGCCCAATTCATACAGTGAGTAATGGGTGAAACTGAAGCTTCACCCTTCAGAGGGTGAAGCCCTCTGACCTGACCCTACACTCCTACCCTTCTTGTCTTCTCCTGCCTCCCGTGCGAATGCTGCCTCACCTCATCTCTCAGTCATCCCGTAGGCTGACCTTATTTCTTACTATGTCATTGTAATTTTTTTTTAAAGCTGATTTATAAAACAAGTAAGATGACCACCTGTCCTGTTTGTCCAAAACTTTCCCAATTCTAGAACTTTTAAGTCCTGTGTCCTGGGAAAGCCCTCAGTTCCGGGCAGACAGGGACTCCTGGTCACCTTTAGCCTATTCCTTACTCCACCCTATCCCTGCGTCTCATTTCATTCCTCATCCCTCAGCCCTTGGTATCTGAGAGATGAGATATGGGGGTGGAGAATTAGATATGAATCAGGATATTTTTAAGTATATATACTTCTTGGTATTAAAAAACAGTATTTATACATTTTGATACTTATGTATCCATCCACTTCAAAATAGCCTTGTCAGAATGTGGAGAAATAGTACATGCTACCATGTTGCCATGAATACTTTGTAAGGCATGTAAAACACATAAAGAGGGTTGACATAATATATACCAAACTAGGATGGGAGTGGGAATGGGATGGAGTAGATATACTATGTATTATTTGAAGTTTTTATAAGAATTTTTTAGGTATTTTGTTAGTAGGAGGGATTTAGTAAATATTTTTTAAAAGATCTTGTAACATTTTAGGAACTTACTTTGGTTTTGTTTTTATATAGTACATATTCATATATTAAAACAATAAGCATATTTTTAAAAATTAAGAACAGGACATACATATTTTTATCCAACAAAACAACAGATCCTCCACTATATACTTCTCATTCTCATTATGGCAAGATAGGAGAGGGAGGAAGAAGAGGGTGTTGTTGGAAAGAAGGAAAAAGGAGAGAAAACCAGAAGCAAGAAGATGAGAAAGACCAAGGCAGAGAGAGCGAGATAACAGGAAGAAAGAGAAGTAGACAGAGAAACTCTTTCTTGATATTTCTGATTGATTCCAGGATTCAGGACTTATTGGCATTTGTGCAAATTAGGCTTGATTTTTAGGTTGCAGTTAGTAGAGATGCACAAGGAAGATGCAAGGTATCTGAATTTAGATAAAATAAAAACTTTAATTTTTGAAAGGTTCGACAATATATTGAGGGTTCATTTAGCTTTCTGTAGACGAGTCACAGACAGACTCGCTTCTCTGAAGTATCTGCAGCTCATGAAACGCGTGTGGAGCCTTTAGTTCAGTTGGGTAGCCCAGTGAGTACTATACCCAAGGACTTATGTCTATTCTTTTTTTTTTTTTTTTTTGTGAGAAAAGTCAGCCCTGAGCTAACATCGATGCTAATCCTCCTCTTTTTGCTGAGGAAGACCGGCTCTGAGCTAATATCTATTGCCAATCCTCCTCCTTTTTTTTTTTTCCCTCCCAAAGCCCCAGTAGATAGTTGTATGTCATAGATGCACATCCTTCTAGTTGCTGTATGTGGGACGCGGCCTCAGCATGGCCGGAGAAGCGGTGCATTGGTGCGCGACTGGGATTTGAACCCCTGGCCGCCAATAGCGGAGCACGTGCACTTAACCGCTAAGCCATGGGGCCGGCCCGTTATGTCTATTCTGATCTTTCCTTCAGTGAGCACAACTTGCTCCACTGTATTTAGTTTCTGGTGTACAAGACGTTGGATAATGTGGCAGGGTATGATATCATCACATTCTGTGTGATGGTATCTGTTTATGTTTCTGTATGGGGTTCTGTTCGGAATTGCAGAGTTCAGGCGAGCACTTGCATATGTCATCACATTAAGGAGTAGTATAAGTATCTTCTCCTTAAATAAGTTAATTATCATTTATCCTGCTAATGTAGTTTTCACATGTGTTTCTTGTGTGTTCGTTTAGGTTGTATCTACATGACTGGGCAATGTTAGGGGACCTGTTTGCATAAGGCTATAGGATCACAACTCAGAGCTCAGCGATATCTTTGTGTGATGATAATCCTAACTTTGGGTTCAAGTTGAGAGAAAAAGATCAGTTACTGTTGCTATGTTTCGTTGCATTGGCTTTGCACAGACTCCTTCCGCCTTGCATTTCATAATTTTCACTTGAGGCAGATGATTTTGCTACTGCGTTAAACTTTAAGATTCTCTTTGATGTTTTTGAATTAATGACTTCAAAGAGATTCCAACTTCATATTTATGCTATATATTTTCATTAACTGTTGAATGTTTGACATGCTATTTCTTTTTATGTTTAAAAGGGTTGGTATTTCTTTATTACAAAGAACTGCAAAAGAGGATATTGCCTTACCTTACAAAATAAGATTTAGGTGTGATTTACAGCCACCATCAAAAAATATTTCTGTAAGTGAACATTTTATAATAGCAATAGATTCCCAAGAGAAATTGCTGAAAACCATCTGTATATATCTAGAAGAAGATGTTATCTCTTTAGGATTGTTTAAATTACAATTTATTTTTTTTTTTTGAAAAAAAAGAGGATTGATATTGGCTGTGAAAGGTTAATTAGGCTTTAGTTCTCAGAACTTACGCAATAATGACTCTTATTCCCATTGGTTTAAAAATCAATAATTTTATCATCATGAAGTATTTGATAAAACATGCTTCTTTTTACACATGAGTTAGGAAGCTATAGGAAGTACCGAAAGTTCTGTTAACTACAACTGTGTCCTCTTTCCAAAATATCTTATACAGCATTCGATAATTTTTCAAAACAGTATTTTCCTATTTTTGAAGACTATAGAGCAAATTATGTCATTTTTCTTACTATGCAGTTGGAGAATTTGATGCTGGATAAAGATGGCCACATAAAAATTACAGATTTTGGACTTTGCAAAGAAGGGATCACAGATGCAGCCACCATGAAGACGTTCTGTGGTACACCAGAATATCTGGCACCAGAGGTAGGCTGTAGTTCCATTCGTAGGAAAAAATAACACTGACATAATGTTTTACAAAGTAAACCATTTAAGCATTAAAAAAATTGCAGTATCTAGATTTCAACATGAATCAAATCTATTTTACTCCCACTTGTTTAATGTGGTATTTATTATAGGGCAAGAATATATAGAAATTAAATTTTATAAACTTTATGAGCACAAAGGTACTAACTACAGGATTAAGAAAATTTTTATTTCTTGGCCATACACATTTTATTTCTTGATTATGCCCATTTTGATTCATTTATTAAAATAGAATGATTAAATGTCTTCAGCAAGAATGTTTACAGTTTTATAAAACACGTTGGATTTTCCGTAGAAACAAAGAAATAATAATTTGGATTTGTAGTAATGTGGGTTTTCATACTTAATTATTGGAAAGTGTTTCATTGGAAAAGTTAATGAAATGACAGCAGCTCCATTTTGGAATTCTTGCCCAAGCAAGCTCCACCTGGTGACCTCGCCATGCTGAGGGCTCCACAAGAGTTCACTAATTTGTTTATTCAACAAATAGATATTATGCGTCTACTATGTGGTGGGTATTTTTCTGGGTGATATGGTTACAGGAGCAAGACACAAAGGACCCTGCTCTCAGGGAACTTACTTGTGATGGAGGGATACAGAATAAAAATAAACAACATCATGTCCTGTAATGAATAAGTACCAGGAAGGAAAAAAGGCTCAATAAAGGGGAGGGTGTGGTATGGTGACTATTTTAAATAGTGTTCAAATTTCTATTGCTGTGTAACAAACCACTCCAGAACCTAATGGTGAAAAGCAACTGTTTTGTGTGACGGTGGATTCTGAGTCAGGAGTGCAGAATGGACAGCAGGGCTGGCTTACCTCTGCTCCACGGTGTATGGAGTCTTAGCCGGGAAGATGCTGCAGTAGGAAGGTCACTCTGTGGCTGGAGGCTGGAATCGGAAGTCTCTTCATTCCTATGTCTGACAGTTGATGCTGGCTGTCAACTGGTACCTTAACAGGGCTATCAACAGGAGTGTTCGTATGTAGCCTCAGCCTCTGCATGTGACCTGGGCTTCCTTATAACCTCGTGGCTTCAGGGTAGTCAGACTTTGGCTCTGGGTTCTAAAAGGGAATGTGCAAGGGAAGAAGTGAGAAGCTGCATCCTTTTTTTTTTTCAACTAGTAAACCGTCAAAAAATGTTTTATTAGTTTTTTTGAAAATTTCTTTTCGTAGTACATTTTTTATAATTTTATTAGAGTACAAGTGACATACCATAAAATTCAGCCTTTTGATTTGCACAGTAGTGGTTTTTAGGATGTTCACAAAGTTGTGCAACTATCACCATTGTCTAATTCCAGAATATTTTTATCACTCCAACAAAGAAACCCCAGACCCATTAGTTCCCCAGCCTCCCCTCCCCCTAGGCAACTACTAGTCTACTTTCTGTTCCTATAGACGTGCCTATTCTGGAAATTTCATATAAATGGAATTGTACAATATGTGGCCTATTGTGTCTGGCTTCTTTCACTTAGCATAATGTTTTCATCCATGTTTTAGCATGTTATCGGTACTTCATTCCTTTTTATGGCCAAATAATATTCCACTGTGTGCATATACCACATTTTATCCATCCATCGAGCAGTTGATGGATGTTTGGGTTGCTTCCACTTTTTGCCTGTAATGCTACTATGAACATCCGTGTATGCATCTCTTTTTATGACCTTGTTTCAAAAATCACACAACAACATTTCTGTCATATGCTTGCTGGTTAAGCAGTCCTAAGCCTACACAGATTTAAGGCATAGTGACATCGACCCCATCTCTCCATTGTAGAAGAGCATGTGAGATGAGAGATATTGTTGCAGCTGTCTTTGGAAAATATAATCTTCTATAAATAGGATGTTCAGAGAAAGTGATGTTTGACCAGAGACCTGAATGCAAGGAATGAGGCAGCTATTGCAAAAATAGAGGGGAAGAGCTTTGCAAACGTAGAGAGCAGCTACTGTAAAAAGCCTGAGGCAGGAACAAGCTTAGTTCTCCCCTCAAACTCCAAGAAGGTTAGTGTGGCAGGAGCCAAATAGGGAAGCGTTCCTCTTCGATGGATGAAGGTTACTATTTATTGAACATAGGCTATGTGCCATATGCTGTGTAAGTGCATTGCATATTTGGAATAACCTTTTATGATAGCAGCCCTGATTTTTTTAAAGGTGAGGGAATAAGGATCAGAATTTTTTTTTTTAATGTATTCTGTACACAGCAAGGAGGTGGTGGAGATAGAATCAGGATTCTAACTAGGTTCGTCTTATAAAGCCCACTTTTACTTTTTTGACTACATACATCAGGGCCCCAAAAAGTCACAATTTCAAGGCCACTTATACATGTAAATAATTGTAATTTTCAAGTGGATGTTGTGTAAATACTCAACAGGAAAAGGTAATCAAGAGAAATTAGAAGTAGGAATACACTCAGAATAATACTAGCATTCCTCGTACATGTAGTAACTCATGCCAGTTTATTATGATAATAGTTCTTGTCTGTTAGGGATTAAATTTACGTTTCAAGAATGTTGAGTTACTGTAAGTAAGTGCTAATAATTTTAAATACAGTAAATTTCCAACTATTATTTTCTTGAGGGCTACCAAAAATATCATTTTCTCTGTTACAAAATCTGGAGTTTAAAATTCTCCATTTTTGTGGAGATTTTAGAAACACTGTTCCTTGTTTATTCAAATACAAGATCATATTTTCTAGACTAGGATTGTTTTTGTGAATGTCATGAAAAACAAATTCTTTGTTTCTCTGGAGTTCAATTACCCGTCCTATACATTTGCCATGGATGATGATATCCCATATTTAGAATAACAAAATTAGTTGTGTCACAATTAGGGGAAATTATTTCTGAAGAAGATAAATACATCTCATTTCAGAAGCAGATGATCTCCTAAGAAACAAAGATTGTTTTATATGCAAATGTCATCAACTGAAGAACAAAACCAAGATTTAATGCAAGAAGAGTCCAATTGTTTCTAAATAGAAAGTTTACAATTCACAAGAAATTTTCAATTTCTTTTTAAAGACAAATAAACATTTCTGTATACCTTTTTTTTTTTTTAATGTTGCAAAAGTCTGGTCTTTAACAGGAGCTTATATCCACGTGGCTGATACATGTTGATTCATAATTTAAATCTTTTTTTTTTTTTTTTTTTTTTAAAGATTTTATTTATTCATTTTTTTCCCCCCAAAGCCCCAGTAGATAGTTGCATGTCATAGGTTCACATCCTTCTAGTTGCTGTACGTGGGACTCGGCCTCGCGTTGGACGGAGAAGTGGTGCCTCGGGGCGCGCCCGGGATCCGAACCCGGGCCGCCAGCATCAGAGCGCGCGCACTTAACCGCTAAGCCACGGAGCCGGCCCCATAATTTAAATCTTGATGCCTTATTTTTATAGGATAGAGTGATCATTGTAGTTACCATTTGAGGAGGACAAATCTGGACACAACTAATTTCTCATGTAATTTTAATTCTCATATTTTAAGTATTTGTGTCAAATACTGCATTTTTTTAAAATCAGGATAACTTTGGATGTGTTTACTCTTACTTTTCAAACAAGAATTTAAGTCCTTTTTCTCATCACCAATATGGACCATTTCACTGAAGAACATTCATTCATTAAAGAAATATTTATTGCAAATTTATTAGGTGTCATGCATTATGTTAGGTGCTAGGGATACACAGATAGTAAGAAATGGTTTTTGTCCTCAAGTAGCTTGCTGTTTTTCTAAGGTGGTAAGATAAGAAAAATAATTATTACTGTCAAAGAACAGAATAGCTTTACTGGAGTTATGTACAGTATAGTGGAAGGAGAAGGAAGGGTGCGTAAGCCTGCTGGGAGGGTCTGGTGACAGTAAACAGGAAGCCGGAAAGAGGAGGTTGGACACATAGATCGGGATGGGGAAAGCAAAGGAGTTTAGACGTGATCTCCCGGATAAGGGAAAAGCACTTTTGAATTCAGAGCAAGGCAATAATGTGATCAGATATGCGTGGTCCGAGTTAGGGAGCGATTGGCAAGAAGCTGAACCCAGCCTCTTCCCTCTACTTCAGATGGTGCCTCTCATTTCTTTGGAACCCTGAAATTCCTAGTCCATGCCATTATTAATGCCAGACTCTTCTTGACAGTATATTCATCGTGGTTGTTTATCAGAGCTGGGATACATTCCTGAGGACCGCTTCTCTGTCAGTATTTTCCTTTCTCTTGTCTTGTAGAAGACTTGTTGACACATTGTGGAGAGATCTTACTGCAGCCTATACTTCATCTGGCATGGTCATCCTTTACCTTTCAAGTTGTTTTAATCTGCTAGAAATGCTTTGCTGTTAAAGATAGATGAAGGATATTTAATCGATGCTTCAAAAGAAGTTAGAAATCAGTTCAAAACTGATTTATTAACTGTTCTATATATCAGACTCAGCTGATTTTTAAATAAACTTAAATTTTAAATGAACTTCAGTTTCTTTGTGGCAAAGACCACCGGAAAAGATAAGTCTTATAGTATAAAAATGCCATTTGTGGAAAGAAGAGTATTTTTAAAAGTATTTGTTCTCGTACCACTTTTGATGAAGAATTATAGATCTTTATTGTTAAAGGGAAAAAATCATGTCTTTTTTTTTAAGAGGTTGCAGAGGTGCAGTCCCAGCAGACATATAAACTATGCATTGAGTGTGCTGCGTCTCTAAGAATGCATTAGTATATTTAGGTTTAAATGAATATGTTTTTCTCTTGTATCAGAAGGAAATAAACTTGACCTGCCATACATTATGGGCCATATGATATTGTGAGGGGATTTTGTTTTTGCAATCTATACCATATTTTCACACCCAGAAATTATAAAGGAAATTAGAAATCACATATAAAATCTTACTGTTAAATTTTATTATTTGATTTGGCTCTCGTTGAATCCAAACCATTTTATGCAGTGCTAATTATTTAGAGTCTCAGCTTTGCTCT